CTCCTCACGTTTGGGTCCTCCCACGCCTCCCACTGGCCACACCCACTGGCCTCCTCACTGGCCTCCCAACTTTGCCTACGCCCACAGGTCCTCCCCACGCCACCCACTGGCCTTCCCACTGCCTTCCCAATGCCTTCCCCACTGGCCGCCCACGGCCACACCCACTGCCTCCCCACTACCTCCCCACTGGCCTCTCCCACTGCCTCCCACTTCCTCCCCACTGGGCCGCCCCACTGCCACCATTACCCACGGCCTCCCCAAGGCCCTCTACCACGTGGCCTCCCCACTGCCGTTACCCAGCTGCCGTGTCCACTGGCTCCCCACTGGCCTGCCCCGCCATCCCCACTGGCCACCCACTGCCTCCCCACTGCCTTGCCCACTGGCCTGCCGACAGCCCATGCCCTCGCCTCACCCACTGCCTTACACCCCACTGCCTCCCCCACTGGCCTGCCCACTGCCTCCCCACTGGCCACTCCACTGGCCTCCCCACTGGCCTTCCCACGCCTCTCCCACGTGGAGCCACTCCCACTGCCTTCCTCCCCATGGCCTTCCCCACTGGCCTTCGCACTGGCCACCCCACGCCTCCCCACTACCCTGCCTTTTCCCACGCCTTCCCCAACGACACCCCCACTGGCCATCCCACTCCTGATCCCACGGGACGCCCAACTGGCCCTCCCACGGCCCGCACTCCCCCACTGGCCTCCCAGCGCCTTCCCACGGCCACATCATAAACCCAACTGGCACCCCCCCCCACTGGCCGTCCCTCAGCCCCGGCACACTGCCTTCCACTCCACCCCACGGCCACCCCACGGCCTCGCCCACTATCGGCCTTCACCCACTGCCTTACCCACTGGCCACACCCACTGGCCTCCCCACTGCCTTCCCACTGGCCTTTCCACTGCCCGCCCCACTGCCACCCGCACTCCCTGGCCTTCCCCACAGGCCTTTCACTGCCACCCTCTCCAACGCCACGGGGGCCACCACCTACGCCACCCCACTGGCCTTCCCCACTGGCCTTCCCCTCTTGGCCTTCCCAACGGCCTCCCCACTACCTCCCCTAGCCTTTAATCCCAGCTGAGCCTCCACAGGCCACACCCACTGGCCACCCCACTCCTCCCATGCCCCCCACTGGGCCTTCCCCCTGGCCCTTCGTCCACTGCCACCCACTGCTCCTTTCCCACTGCCACACTCCCCCCGGCTTTCCCACTGGCCTCCCCCTGAGCCTTCCCCCACTGGGCCTTACCACTTGGCCTCACCCACACTGCCTTGCCCACTGGCCTCCTCACTGGCCTCACCCACTGCCGCTCCCACTCCACTGGCCCTCACACAGGCCTCCTCACTGCCTCCCCACAGCCACTGGCCCCACTGCTGGCCCGCCCCACTGGCCACCCCACTGGCCTTCCCACGGGCCTTCCCACTGCCGTACCCGACTGCCTTCCCACGACCACCCCACGCGGCCTCCCCACGAGCCACCCCACTTGCCTCCCACTGCCTCCCCACTCCTCCCACGGCCTCCCCACGGCACCCCCACTGGCCTCCCCCACGGGCCTCCCCCACTGCCTCCCCACCGCCTTACACACTCGGGCCTTCCCACTCCTCCCCAACTAGCCTCCCCACTACTGCCTTCCCACTGCCTCCTCCTGCCTTCCCACTGGCCCCCACTGCCACCCCCTACTCCTCCCCACCTGGCCGTCCACTGGCCCACACGCCCCACTGCCTCCCCACTGGCCTTCCCACTGCCTTCACTGGACACCCCACTGCCACCCCTACTGGCCTTTCCCACTGCCTTCCCACGGCGCCTTTCCCACTGCCTCCCACTGAGCCACTCCACTGCCTCCCACTGCCTCCCCTCTCCCAATCTGCCATCCCCACTGCCGTACCCCACTGCCTTCCCACTGCCTCCCCACTGCCTCCTCCCCACTGGCCTAACCACTGCCTCACCACTGGCCTCACCCACTGGCCTCCCCACTGGCCTTCCCATCATAGGCCTGCCCACTGGCCACCCCATACGGCCACCCCCACTGCCTCCACTGGCCTCCTCTGCCTTCCCACTGGAGCCCCCACTGCCTCTACCCACTGCCTTCCCACGGCCTTTCCCACGCCACCCCACTGCCACGGCCCACTGGCCGTCCCTCTGGCCGTCACACTGCCTTCCCCACGGGCCACCATCCACGGCCACCCCACTGGCCTCCCCACTGGCCTCCCACTGCCACCCCACGGCCACCCCACTGGCCTTCCCTCTGCCCGTTCCCACGGGCCTCCCACTGCCACTCCCACTCCTCCCACCATCCTCCCACTGCCTTCCACTAGGCCCACCCCACTGCCACCCCCACTGGTCCTTCCCCAACATGGCCTTCCTCTGGCCGTCCCCACTGGCGCCCCACTACCTCCCCACTGACCTTGCCCTACTGCCGTTCCCACTGGCCACGCCCACTGCCACCTCGAGCTCACAGCCTTCTCCCACGGGCCGCCCCACCAGCCACCCCACTGGCCTCCCCCCCACTGGGCCGCCCACTGCCTTCACTCCTCTGCCTCTTCCCACTGCCTCCCCACGCCTTCCCACCGGGCCATTCCACTGCCTCCCCACACTGGCCTTCACCCAACTACGCCACCCCACCCCGCCTCCGCCCTCCACTGGCCACCCCATCTGGCCTCCCCACTGGCCACCCCACTGGCCTTCCCACTGGCCTTACCCACTGGCCTTCCCATGGCCTTCCCACTGGCCACACGCCACGTTGGCCTCCCCACGTAGCCACCCGCCCTGGCACTCCCCACGTTGGCCTCCCCACTGGCCTCCCCCAATGCCTTCACCACTGGCCACACCCCACTGGGCCTTCACCCACTGCCGCCCCACTGGCCTCCCCACGGCCTTCCCTCGGGCCTTCCCACTGGAGCCTCCCCACTGCCTTCCCCACTGCCTTCCACGGACCCCCCTACAGCCTTCCCACTGGCCGCCCACTGCCACCCACTGGCCTCACCACTGCCTCCCACTCCTTTCCCACTCCACCCCACGCCGCCCCACTGCTCCCTTCCCACTGGCCTTCCCACGACACCCCACTGAGGCCACCCGCCTGGCCTTCCACGGCCTTACCCACGGGCCGTTCCCACGGGCTCCACGGCCTTCACCATCGCCTCCCCCACTTGGCCTCCCCACATGGCCTCTCACTGGCCTTCCACTGCCGTCGCCCCAACTGGCCTCCCCACTGCCTCCCCACTGCATTCCCTCGCCTCCCCACTGGCCCGCCCCCACTGGCCTCGCCCACAGCCGTTCACCCACGGGCCTGCCCACTGCCACCCCACTGCCTCCCCACTGCCTTTACCCCACTGCCTTCCCACTGGCCTTTCCCACAGGACTCCCCACTGGCCTCCCCTTCTGGCCTTCCCACTGCCTTATCCACTGGCCACCCCACTGCCACCCCACTGGCCTTCCCACTGCCTTCACTCTGGCCTTCCCACTGGCCACCCGCGGCCATCCCCCACTGGCCCCCCACTGCCTTCCCACCTGCCACCTTGTACCCCACTGCTCGCCCGACTGGCCAACCACTGCCTTCCCCACTGGACCGCCCCAGCTGGCGACACCCCCCACCCCCACGTGCCCGCCCACAGCCTTCCCACTGGCTTCCCACTGGCCACCCACTCCACACTCCCAATGTCCGTCTCCCACTGGCCTCTTTCCCACTGGCCTTCCCACTGGCCGCCCCCACTAGTCCTCACCCTCTGGGCCTTCCCACTGGCCTTTCCCCCACTGAGCCACCCCAATGCCACCCCACTGCCTTCCACTGCCGCCCCCCACTCGGCCACCCACGGGCCTCCACGGGCGCATCGTCCCCCACTGCCTTCCACATGGCCTTCCCACTCTCGCCACTGCCTCCCCACTGGCCGTTCGCCTCCACTGCCAACCCCACTTGGCCACACCCCTGTGCGCCGTGCCCACTGCCTACCCACCGGCCTGTCCCACTGGCCCTCCCCGCTAGCCTCCTCCATCTGCCCGTACCCACGGGCCTTCCACTGCCTCCCCACGGGCCACCCCAATACGTCCCACCTGGCCTCCCACACGGGCCACCCCACGGCCGTCCGCACCCACTGGCCCTCCCCACTGCCTTCCCAATGGCCTTCCCACTGCCTTCCCACATGGCCTCCCCTCTGCCTTTCCTCGCCTTTCCCACTGGCCTCCCCCACTAGGGCCTTACCCACCCTCCACCGGCCACCCCACTGTACCTCCCCACTGTGCCAGTGTAAATTGCATGTAGCATCATGGTAGCATTTCCTCTCATCAGGCACACACGACTAAACTATAAAATCCTTAATAATCCAGGATCGGAGGAGGGTGTTTACTGAATCTGTAACGGAATTCTATTTCTACAGTCTGGTTTACCATTATATGTAGATCAAGACCCTAAATGATCTTTAGTGCAGTGGCCTCCCCAAGGAGGTCTTTCGGCCGCATATCGGCCCCCCATGACACCTTTTCTCAGAACCCACGGTAGCCAAGGTGAATGTTAACAAGGTCGCGTGAATTAGATTAAACTTATTATTAACTCAGTTGGCCAATCAGTTACTGAGGAGCCCGATGAACACGTGTCAGAATCGTTCACCTCTATAAAGACCCATGGTCCAAGGGTTTTAAAGTGTTTTTCTGCCAGTGGGATTTGGGGTATCAAATAAAGTCCTTCCTTGTGAAAAAAAAGTAATAAACGCAGGGGGATAAAACGACCAAATCAAACCGCACTGAGTATTTGCAGTTGTGAGAGGTGGAAATAAATTCCACATGACATTGCATGAGGAAGATTATGCTTAGGACTGAGTGTTCTCCCCCATCGATATGAAACTGAACCAATATAACATTAGATATTTTAATAGAATAAACCGGATCGCGGGATACAATTGTTGATATCTGCTTTATTGTTATAAGTTTTTCCATGTTTTGGAGTTTTTGTGTTTCCTTGTGAGATTGAATATAAACTGCATGAAACAGTAATAAGTTGATGTTGTTTCTGCAGGTCTGTTTGCTCTGGTTGGAACATCCTGGTACGGCCACAGAGTAGCCCAGGACTTCTACAGCCCGTTTACCCCAACTAACTCCAGGTCAGTCATCAACTAACCTGTCGGTTGAACTTTCAGTATTAATGTAAAAAAAAACCTGATCCAAACATTGAATCAGTGAATTAGCTGAAAAAAGTTTAAATTAAAGATTGCATAAAATCTGAAAATATAAATGTTTAACATGTGAGTGTGAAAAGAAATTCAAATGATGAGATTTTTTTTATGTGGCGCCGAAAATAGATTTGAATAAAACAATTTATACTGTAACATTTCTTTAAGTTAACTCACTTTCCAACATTTAGAGCTTTTTTTCCTACATTTAGTTTGGTATAATGCTTCAATCTATTATGTCCTGTATTTAAAATTTTATAAAAATTTTAAATGTAATTTTTAAAATCTAAATACATATGTTTTGTTAAGCTAAATTTGAAGCCAAAATTAATAAAATTCTAAATCTAACATTGAAATCTTTTTAAGATATGCTAATTACCGGCACAACTTTAACTAAATACCTTATGGCCGCACCTGTCTCCCATAGAAACACCAATAAGATGAACAGTTCACATATTTATTTAGATTCAGATGTAAAATTTGGATGAATTATTTAGTTCTATTTATTCTATTTAGAGCTATATATATCTATATATATATAGATATAAATAGATATATATAGATATCAAATGAAGCAAAAATTATCATACAAATGGAGAAATAATATCGATATGATATAATATGAATTAATATTTATATTTTAGCGTTTTTCCCATAAATGTCAGGAAAAAAACACTTAAGGTGAGAAAGAAGTGCATTAAACAACAGAAATGTAAAAATATTGTTTTGCATAATTTTTCACATTTGGCACCCCACAGTTTTAGTTAAGCTGGATCTTAGTTCAGGGTGATTTCTACTTTCCAGTGTTCTGTCAGATTAGCATATCCACAGTCAATACGCATGTGCAAGAAGTCAGATTAGCATACGCCTATGCTAGTCCCGTTTATACCTTTAGTTCCTTACGAAAAATACACTTTAAACTACCTTGATGGTTGCGTATTGCAACGGGGTATTAGGGCCAGGCTAGAGATTTTTTTTCTTTTATTTCGAGAATAAAGACATACAATTACGAGAATGAAGTCATAATATTAAGAGAATAAAGTCCTAAAATTACGAGAATAAAGTTGTATTTTATGACAACTCTTCCAAGAAGCCCTTTCTTCCCTAAAATGAGGAATGTGGAGCTTCATGTGAAGTTCTACTTTAGCATCGGTTTGACAAATCAGGAAATCTTTTAGCAGCAGCATCAAACTGGGCAGGATGTCAAAGTGGACTCTGGTGGCTGATTGGTGGAACTGGTCGGTTGTCATCTGCTGGGTGGAACTCCAAGCTTTCTTTCTCAAAGCGGTTGTTGTTTGATGACTTCATTCTTGTAATGTTACAACTTTATTCTCATAATGTTACAACTTTATTCTCGTAATGTTACGATTTTATTCTCGTAATGTTATAACTTTATTCTCGTAATATTACGATTTTATTCTCGTAATGTTACAACTTTTTTCTCGTAATGTTACAACTTTATTCTCGTAATGTTACGATTTTATTCTCGTAATGTTACAACTTTATTCTCGTAATGTTACAACTTTATTCTCGTAATGTTACGATTTTATTCTCGTAATGTTACAACTTTATTCTCGTGATGTTAAAATTTTATTCTCATAATGTTACGATTTTATTCTCGTAATGTTACAACTTTATTCTCGTAATGTTACAACTTTATTCTCGTAATGTTACAATTTTATTCTCATAATGGTAGGATTTTATTCTCGTAATGTTACAACTTTATTCTCGTAATGTTACGATTTTATTCTCGTAATGTTATAACTTTATTTTCGTAATATTACGATTTTATTCTCGTAATGTTACAAATTTTTTCTCGTAATGTTACAACTTTATTCTCGTAATGTTACGATTTTATTCTCGTAATGTTACAACTTTATTCTCGTAATGTTACGATTTTATTCTCGTAATGTTACAACTTTATTCTCGTAATGTTACGACTTTATTCTCATAATGTTACGATTTTATTCTCGTAATGTTACAACTTTATTCTCGTAATGTTACGATTTTATTCTTGTAATGTTACGATTTTATTCTCATAATGTTACGATTTTATTCTCGTAATTTTACAACTTTATTCTCGTAATGTTACAACTATATTCTCGTAATGTTACGATTTTATTCTTGTAATGTTACGATTTTATTCTCGTAATGTTACGATTTTATTCTCGTAATGATACAACTTTATCCTCGTAATGTTACAATTTTATTCTCGTAATTTAACAATTTTATTCTCGTAATGTTACGATTTTATTCTCGTAATGTTACAACTTTATTCTCGTAATGTTACGATTTTATTCTCACAATGTTACAACTTTATTCTCGTAATGTTACAACTTTATTCTCGTAATTGTACGACTTTATTCCCGAAATAGTAGAAATAAATCTCTAGTACGTCGTAATCTATCCCTTCAGACTAAAGGGAAACACGAGGTAGTTTAAAGTGTATTTTTCTACAAAAATAAAGGGATAAATGAGGATAAACTAAAAGGGTAAACAGGTATTGACTATGGGTAGGCTGGTCTGACTGGGTATAATGATGTGACAGAACACCGGATCTTGTTACATCTGTTTAAACCAGGAAGGATTTTATTATCATCTATATTCTGTAAACAGACTTTTAAAGCTGTGTGGTTTTAAGGCATCATGAAGATCTCTGTATCATTCACAGGTATGAATTTGGGACGGCCTTGTACGTTGGATGGGGGTCGGCCTGTCTGTGCCTTATAGGTGGGGGCTTCCTCTGCTGCAACTGTTCAGGGAAGAGCAGCTCTGGGAAAACCATGCACTACACATCAGCCGGCGCTGCAGGGGACCGGAACTACGTTTAGGAGGACAGGCTCTGTCCAGCGTTTAGTCAGAGCCTTTAAAAAGCAGGGAATATAAAGCTCTGTGTTAATAATCACCAGCATGTTATATTTTTCATCTCTTTCTCTAAAGATAACTAACATCCAGTGGCAGTTTGTAGTTCTTAAAGTGCGCATAAAAACATCTGGCATCACTTTTTTATTGTGTCCTTTTTTAGAGCTGATGTAAATGTGATCAACTTTATCAGGAATTTGTTTTATATTGATCTATATTGTTTTTAATTTGTTATTAATAATCCAATTAAAGCTAAATGATAATGTTTCTTGATGTATAGGTTTGTTTTAATGTAGGTAAGATCTGTCCCTGCAGAAAAGAAACTTCAAAACAATGTTTATTAAACTCTATCAACCAAGTTCATTAGCACTCCTGCTCTTTGTCTGCATCGTTGTTACGCTGATCTGTTGTTACCCGATCCGTACCACACCCCCAACCCCTTTACAGGGGAACAGAAGACCTCACCTGTTCAGCCAGGCCAACAATTCCCTCTAATGACCCCCCTTTCAGAGACATAGACAGGTATGGGGCATTGCAGGCTAACAAAGAAGCTAAACGACCCCCATTCCAAAGGGGGGGACCCGTTCATCCGTTTCTATTTGCATGTTTTCTAAACTAAAACCAGGCTTTGTTGGGCTGCTGGATAAAACCTGGAACTAAACGCTATTTCTGACATTTTGAACTAAAAAAAGCCTGGATGGAAGAGAAACGTCTTCAAACTTGGAAACAAAGTCCATCGGATTGATTTTAACTTTTTTGGAATAAATATGACCTGGATGACTGAGAAGATTCAGGTTTTATGACTTTCTGAGACAATTAGATGCTTTTTCCATTTTCTCTGATGTCATCAGGGGACATGCTCAGAGCAGTACAGTAAAATATGATCATGTTTATCTGCATTTTAGTTGTTTCTTTCTTTAGATTACGCACTACATACCATAATGTTAACACGAAAGGAAAATGTAAAACTCTTAACTGAAACGCTTCAATCCAAAGCTGGAAAAGTTAGCTCCTGGGAGTAGCGTAGCATCCCATTTCTGGAACAGATCACGCACAGAGGGATAAAACAGAAGGGATTTTAATACATTTATTTTCTTAGGAAATGTTTTATTAACCTTTAACATGTTGTTGTTTACTGTAACGTATGCCTATTTTTTTTATGGAGGGAAAAACGTAATTTAGGTATTTTTTTAAAAAGTAAAATCGATGGCGACCCGGATGTATATCTGATTGCCCGGATGAGCTGATGGTACGGATCGGCCGGTGACATGTATATCAGTACTGACTCTCTTTCCTGGTTATTTTCTAAGGTTTGAGATCATTTTAATCTTCTGTCCCTTTATGTTCCTAACAGTGCACTCTATTCTGAGGGTACTGGGCTTCTAAATGTTCGCGAAGCTAAAATATATTAAAATATAATGAAAAAAGCTTCTTAAGGTGGTGCTCTTTCCTTTCATGCCCAATCCTTGTGTCACGGTTTCTGTCGGGTAATCTCTGAAGAGGTTTTTAAAGTCATTAACTAAAGACCAATTTGTTCAATCTGTCTAATCTAAGTTATTCCTGACTCTAATTGTCTTGCTTTTCTTGCTCTCTGCTATTAAACCATATTGTTTTTATTCATATTTGGTTTTTCTATTCTTATTGACTCTTCAGCACTTGATTTGAAGTTAGAAATATTCTTAAGCTACTTGGGTTTGATTTAACCTTTTTATGTGTTGAGAAAAATCACATGTTAAAAAATAAAATAATTTCAATTAAAATGTTAGCAGACATAACGATTAAATGTAATTAAACCAGTTTAACATTTCTTTTTATTTCTAAGCTAATCAGAATTAAACAAACAAAAAAAAAATGTCAAAAACCCATGACTGATTTTTGTAGTTGTTTGAGTAATTTCAAAATTTTCCATCTCAAAATACTCAATCTAGAGTTGTTCATCTCCTACCTGTCAGATTGGAGGAAACTGCATCGACTTCAACTCTTCAAAATCAATCAGTTTCTTAAAGTTTGATGTGAATGTATGAGTTTCAAACATATTTCTGTCCCCTAACTTGTCCAAATTGGACAAGTACACTGAATCTATACATTTTTAATTTTGGTAGTCCACCATTTCTTTGTTACTAAAAAAGAAATAAATTCCAGATATGAATTTTAATTCAGATTAGGTTGGTTTGCACATTCTGAACTACCCATTTCACAAACTTGTAATGCTAGCTTAGACATGATTGGATTTGTTCAAAATGTGTGTAGTCCCATGCATTCTTATGTTCAGACTTTGGTTCAGACTTTTGCTAAAATATGACATTGATTGAGAATTAAAAACAGCATTTCCTCACAAAATTACTTTAAACCAAAGATGGTTTCATTATAGAGTCAGATAGTACAGTGAACATTTTAAAGAATCTGTCATTTTCTCCTCCCCTGTATCACCGATTAAATTAACAAATTGATTATTTTTTGATGGGGTTACTTTATTTTCTGTGCACTGCTTCAGACAATGTAGACATTTATAAATATGAGGCTGGCTTCTTAGTTTAATACAGAGATTATCCTCAATAATAGAGGAGAAAAAGAATAATCCTAGATATTTTTTTAATCCAGTTGCCAAACTCACCCAGAGCCATAGCTCTGTTGAACCGTCCATTCCATCTGCTCTTAACAGTAACGATTTTATGGGATTCTTTATAAATAAGATTGATCTTAATAAAAATAAGATTATTAGCACTCCTCTATCCGCGATTGATTTGTCTCTGGAGGGGGGGGGCAGCATCTGAGGTAGTCATGGAATCTGAGCCGGGTTTAGACTGCTTTGATCCAGTTGAACTTTCAGAGTTAGCAAAACTATTGTCTTCATCTAAGCCTTCAACTTGGATGTTAGATCCAGTTCCAACCAGGTTATTTAAGGAGGTATTCCCTTTGATCTCCTCCTCCATTTTAGATGTGATCAATCTATCTCTGTTACAGGGATATGTACCAAAGGCTTTTAAGGTTGCTGGAATTAAACATTTACATAAAGGAAAAGTCCGCTCATATTCAGGATTCAAACTTCTGAACATACTTTAAATCTGAAATGATTCCATCCTGTTCAATAAATGATCAGTGTTTTTAATCCAGAGTAATTTTCATGTGAATGTGCTTTACTGAAGGCATCCATTTTTGTCAAAGAACACTACTGCCACCTACTGGTATGTGACGTCACGGTGCGGTATCGGCTGTTGATCAAGTCCCAGTGCTGTATCTGGTGTTTGTCACAACGCGCTATTATCCAAGTCATTTTGAAAACATTCTTCTTCCAAATGTTGGCTACATATTACGGGTTTTTTCTCTGGCCAGAAGTTCGATGGCAAATCCTCCCTCTTCAAGTTGGCGATCCAACGACCAACCCGTCCGTGGAGGATCAGGAATCAGAAAGGTGGAATAACTCTTTTTTTTTCACTTTTACCCGATGTATTCCAGCATCCAGCTGCCATGCACGTGGGCATTGTCAGTTTCACTATAGCTCTGGTGAATTTCAATGGTGAAGTCCTCTGGAAATCTTCAATAATTGTTGTTGATTGCAGATGTGTCTAGTAGTTCCCATTGATTTAGCTTGGAAAGCGGGGAGAATGGCGCTAGGCTTACCGCACCGTGACGTCACTGCTGGAAGATGGCAGGAGGGAGGGGCTACTATATTTGGGCAAAAATGGCCGCTCCCAGACTCAGTGATCGCAACGAAAATTATTGTTTTTATTTTTTTACTAATTAAAGCTGCAGTCTGTAACATTGAGAAGAGAGCAGACTTCGACTGAAAATTTTAAGAAAAACAGGTTTCACGCCACTCCCCCACCCTCTCTGTTTCACTCATGCCCCACTTCCAAGCTCCACCCCTCTCACAGCATCTGCGCGGCTACCGCATGCGACCAGAGGGGGGGGGGGGGGATTCAGCGTGTGTGAGCTGTGATTGACACTCCATCAGACGCTCCTCTGGCTGTGATTGGTTGTTTTGACTCGTCCCGAATTATTCTTTCCAGAGTGAAATACAGGCAGTATGCGGTACCAATTGAAGCAGTTTTTTTCACAGGTTACATATCACATGTACTGCTGTCTGGGCATAGGGACAGTTTTAGCCAATATGACAAAAAAGTGATTTTTAAAAACTTACAGACTTCTGCTTTAATGCTAAATTCATTAAATCACGGCGAACGTATTAGTTTCAGGTATAAATAATGATCAATTCATTATTCCTTGTTGACCGGACTTTTCCTTTAAGAAACCGTCTCTTGACCCAGATTGACTTGCTCAATTATAGACCTATATCCAATCTTCCTTTCTTATCTTAAATTTTGGAAAAAAGTAGTTGCTAAATAGGTGTGCAAGCACTTGCACCATGATGAACAGGCTTTTAGAGCCCAGCATAGCCCTGATACAGTGCTGCTTAAAGTCACCGATGTTTTTTTTTATGGCCTCAGATAATGGACTTTAACTAAAGGGTTAAGTCCAAAGGGTTTTCACATTAAAATTTTTAAAGTTGTATGCACCTCTTCACTACAGGTTATTTCATATGTTAATTATCCAAAAGGCCAAACCAACAACAAAACTGTTTGCAAGGCACATAACCGACTGTCGCACCAAATCTGGCACTGGGTCTTTTTATTCAGTGATCATATTGTTCAGAATTTGGAAGAGAAAAAATATTTGATGATTTTACCTGGTTTCAATAATGAGTTAAATAATTGGGAAGAGCGGTGCAACCTTTTCTTTTTAGTGGCTCTGCTGTAATACAAAAGTTATTAAGAGTGGAGGATCTTTCCCTCTTCCTATTTGTATGTTTGTTGTTTATTTTTTATTAACCAGGCTTTCATAGTGCGTCATAGACTTCTCTAGTTCAAGTTACAAAGAATATAAACCAAACTGATTGTGCAAAGGTGCAGAAAATATTTTTATTTTTTCTGAGCTTCTCCAAACTGGCTTGTCTGTTTCAGTCTCTGTGTTCACCAGCGGCTTGAACTCATCTGAATGTTTCTTTGATAATTAAAAATAATAATTGAACTGCATTGATCTCTCCGCATTTAACCCTTGGGAAGCAGTGGGCTGCCATTGTGCGGCACCCAGGGAGCAATCGCAGGTTAAGGGTCTTGCTCAGGGACCAGGAGGGGAGGCAGTGGGATTCGCACGGCTCTAACCAGTACACCATCACTCCCCATTATTAGGAATATTCTAGAGATTTCAGAAGACAAATAAATGGGACAAAAAAGTCCACTTAAAAAAAACCAACAACAATCTGTTAT